GAGCCAGTATTTGAAATGTGGGAATAGCTTGTAACATATTGATTCTACGTCACACCACTCTCGGTAACAATAAGAGATGTCTCCACCACAAAATATATCACATACAGAACAAATCGCATTGAAAGATTTACACATACAGCTTAAGAGTAATTTACACCCAATGTTTGTATTACAAATGTCAGGATAAAACAAATTCTGACACTGAAGACCTAACTTGGGGACGCGAAAATGAATTTTACTTAATATTAAGAGGCAATCAGTTTGATTGTTCGGTACTTTATGGAAAGATCTTATCACCGATATTTCGCGCCTACGTTGTAACGACTCAACTTTAAGGATTCTTAGCACTGCCAAAAGGTTAAAATCTCCCAAATAAAATTATTTAAGTGCCTTACGTTTGCCCTGAATTTTCTATACGTAGTAGACCAGATGACAGATACGTGCTCCAGCTTACTCCCAATAAAAGACAGATACAATGTTGCGATGAAGCAGTGAAGCCGGACCTGTGTTCATCATATGAAGGAGTCGTTATCCAGTGTCAGTCTAACATCGAAAATGGCACCTAAATTCTTATAAATCGAGATTCGCTCATACAGGTTACCATCATTGTTATAGTTATCGTATTATAGAGTATATTCAGATAAGAGATAGACCGGACATAAACAAGTCCACGTGATCATCGAACGCTGTAACATTCGGCAGGGACGTATTAAGAGTCACACTATTTTAGATAGTAGATGCTGCTTTGCGTAACTTTGTAGTAAATTAACACAGTTCGATGTGTATACGATTGGTGATGGATATAGGATCATGTGGGGGTGGGGTAAGAAATATATAATGATGTAAATATACATAAGGGTTTCAAAATTTTCGCTTCGATTTCCAGCTTCGGATGCCGCCTGATGTTTGGTGAAATACAGTCGAATATAATCTCAAAATGGCGTTTAAATTAGCCTAGATTAAAAATAATCGTACATCTCTTAAAATTGCTTTTAGAATATTGATTAGTAGATTTTTTGATTTCTAGGTAAATATGTAACCAAATTAAAACGTTCAAAACGTAAAAAAATGTGCATGATTGAACATTGTCAGAAAGTAGATTCTTGAATAGGTTTTGCCAAAATGGGTTCAAAAATGTTTCAAAATAATGCTTCAAAATAATTACTTATAACTTACCGAATTTGATGAACGACACCTTTTATTGGAAAGATGAGCTTGATGAGCTTTCATCATCGCTACTGCCTGAAGCACCAACGTCAATAATGAATGGCTCGACTTGTTCCTCTAAAATATTGTCCAGTTCCCACATTCTCTTTTCAACTTTGTCTTTCACGTGCTTAATACAGTTTTCCCATTTTTGCGCTGTTATTAATTCTAGTGCTTCTTTGAAAAGTCCTTTGAGGTCACAAAATTTAAAAGTTGTATTGTGCTTAGCTATATAATTTTTAACCTCTGCCCATATGAGCTCAATGGGATTGAGCTCGCAATAGTATGGAGGTGAACGGAGCACAGTTTTATTTTGACTTGCTGCCATTTCGTCAATGGCGTATTTTTGATATTCCGCCTTGTGATCCTTGACAATTCTTAATAATTGTACTTTCAGCATTGCTTCTTCAAAGTTGATATTTTTCGAGCGGAGCCAATTTTGAACATCAACTTTCCTTGAAGCCGTTGTTGGGACCTTCTCCATTCTTCGACAATGATAAGGCGCACTATCCAACACAATTACTGCGTTTTCCTCTAAGTTCGGTAAAATTTTTGAAAACCACTGTTCAAACGATTCGCCATTCATTTCCTCGTGGTAATCTCCAGTTTTCTTAGACTCAAAGCACCACAGACCGTCAACAACAAATCCATCCTCACTGCCAATATGGCAGATAATGAGCCTTTTCCCTTTACCTGGAAATCGAAGTACTAACTGGTGTAGATTTATTTCAATAAGCGAACCTTTTTCAAATGTTTTCATCACATTCAGCGAAAAAATATTGAGACATGAGTATCAGATTGCTATAATTGGGATTATTTAGTCATATTGAAAGAAAGAATATTGAACGTCGTATGATTACTCAGCGCTTCACAATTTAATTTAAAGTTATAAACCTTTAAAAAATGAATGATCAGGAACCTGAAATACGCGCAAATATTAATATTAACAAATTATAACTTTATAAAGCTTAAAGTATGAATTAAAATGATTAGAAATATTAGAAACGGTACACAATATAAAACTTAGTAACTTTTTTTAAGTTTATAATATTCGACATATTTTAAGATTATATTAAAAAATTATTGAAATATCGAAAACACATAAAAACATGGCTTAAAAAAGTTCTAACAAATGAAAATGACAATAAAACATCCACGCATTTTATCGAAAGTTATAAAAGTTTTGTTACTTGTAATATGTTTTATCTGCCCCCTGGAATTAATGTTTAGAACCTTGTTCCCAAGGTTTGAAAAACATCCGATTGTCGTCTATTACTCGTATTTACCTGCTGGATTTTTTAATCCGGTGGACAATCCATCTAGAAAGGCCCTCCTGGATGAAGTTACAGAATCATCAACCCATACTTTACTTGTAGTGTGTCCTGCGTTTACCCACGTTTCATCAAGGTAATAAATCTTCCTGTTTTGATTTCCATATTTCCCAATTTTTGTTAAATAATCCCTCCTCCATAGCACAATTTCTTCTCTATCCAGTAGTAAACTATTACGACCCCGTTTTTTCCATTTGAAATTTAAATGCTTCAGTAACGCATGGAAAGTTGATCGTTTGAAATTTGGCAACGTTGTATCTCCATTTACCTCCTGCAGTACTTTATCTATAGTAGGTATTTCATTCCTAAAGAAGAATTCATGCACTTTCCTCCTAATCGCATGCTTATCAGCTTCATCCAATGATTTAACAATACTTTTGCGATATTTACTGGTCATTGGCTCAGAAAAGGTGTGATTTTTTTGTATTGTCTCTTGCGCTCGATCTTATATATATTCAAAATGACCTCTTTCATTTCTGCACTCAGGTGTCTTTTTTTAGAGCGTTTCCTAGGTGGACTACAGGAGTTTACAAGTTCATCGGCAGTATCTGTACTACTGGGCATTTTGCGCAAGCAGTTGATAACAATAACAATCAATAACAAGGTATAACAATAACAACGACAAACTCAACAACTTAATAAGATAACAAACGAAAACGTCCAAACAAATATCAAATTGCAATGATGCACACGACATACGTAACACGTCTGAACCTGAATGTGACTCTGCCTTGATACGACTGCTCTGCCGCTCGGCATAGGCATTTAATTGCGAATTGACCAATGAGGGCTAATGTTTTACGTCGAGACGGCGGCGTTAGCGTGAAAATCAGCCGAACCTTTTGTTTACATCCGGTCTATCTCTTATCTGAATATACTGTAGAATGTAGTTTTCTAGTAAATGACATGGACCTTGCGTTTTGGAATAATAATATCAAGTAGATTCCTAGAGCACCATAAGTGGGTACAGTTCACGCAGTTTTGCAACAGAATGATGATATTAATATTGTTAATAACAGGACATTTTTAAATCATCGGCATAAAGTAGATGCATGTATGGCAAAAACAGCGATAAATCATTGGTGAAGATTATGAACAACAAACTGTATTTCAAAAATGTATGACGTTAATGCACTTTCTCAGACCTGATTCTCTTAAAACAAAAGTTCTGAACCTTTGAAAAATTCAACAAGTTCAAGAACATAAATAGTTTATATAGGTACCTATCTACCTATATATCTATCGATCTTGAAATGAGCAAATTACAAAACTGGATCCAGTATTGTTCCGAAAATGTAGACATACTACCAAGCCGCTCAATTTCTCATGTAAAGGGTAAATTACGCACATCGAGTACGTGAGATATCAAAGCATTCAACAGGTAATCCTGATGTTGAACCTGTAAGTGACTGATTTGCCTGTGTAGCCGTATAGCTTTGAATATAGAATTCAGGAATATAAACAAAATCCGCTATTCAAAAACCTGTAAATAACCAGGCCGATAATATCACCGTTAGCTGTAATGTACATCGAGAGGTCTTCGAAGGTTTTTGAAGGTTAGTCGAATGGATAATGAACAATAATGGCGTAGTGTTTAGTGGTCATCTTTGACATTGAGAAGATTTGCACTACATTTTATAACTGTTATGTTACTACTATTCACTAGTCTAGCTAAATCTCCAAATTGTGGTTCCGTATTTTGTAAACATGACCATCAAAAAATACATACAAACTACTGTGATACAATGGAGAATGAGTGATCTTACAGTTCTTTTTACAGATGTTCGCAGGTTCGTACATACAAAAAAATTATCCCCTCTCGACAGGCAAAGCTTACTATTGGAAAAAAGTTGCGCATTCTATAATAATTGCGAACATGCCTATAGGTAGATTTCTTGTATCCAACATAAATCAGGGTGAATGCCCACCTATTTAGGAGATATCAGCAGAATACTCAGACGCATTGTTTGTTCCTAGTTCTAGAAGCAAAAATATTGGTATAAAAAATTGTGAGATGTAGTTACATGCGCTATGTGAACTGATAAAAGTTACAATGATGAATAAGCGATTCTGGACACATGTTACCACTAAAGCTATCAGACACGATTTTGGGAGATTAAATTTTATTAATTAACACCGCAGCCGAAACCGCTCTGGAGGGATTCAACACGTTTTGTCAGGACTCGTCCTTGATTATTTTGATGTTAACATTCCAAATCCTCTTCCTTCTATCTCCTACGTAATAGTTTTTGCGAATGTTTGTGGTCAGTCGACTCTAGAATTTGGTTAATTAGGACTGCCTTGTTCATTAGTGGATATATACTAGCTGACCGGAAAAATACAGTGCTGATTGATACGGAAAGCCCAAACTTCACAAGATGAGCATTATTTCTAAGCAAAGGCTATTTGAATAAACAAAGTGAAAATGATCATCAAAATGATCTGCAAATAAAATGTGAATACTCATCTGTACACCTCTGTCAACCAATCGTTTTGAATTGTTGAACACTATTTTGTAACATAAACTGTGCTCAATGCCATTGGTGTATTCAGAGTGTTCCATAGTTAAAGAACTTAGTGAAATGGTAGATAGTATGGACCAAGGCCTTTTCATATCTGAAAACAGAAAAGTTTTGAATTATTAAGTTTTTAGGGATATTTATTTAAAGGCTCCAAGTATTTAATATCACATATCTTAGACAGTACAGGACCGATTTTGTTGAAGTGTTGCGTAAAACGGTGAAAAAATCCAGGGCCGGACTCGCCTTATTACTTTTTTGATTTTTAAGCTTGATAGTGAATTGATATTGAATTGTTAACCTATGTACCAAAAAGCCAATGAATGATGCTGAATACTTCGCAAAATAGGTTGATTTGGCTGATGAGTTATTATTTATTCAAATATCTTATTTTTAGCAGTTTATGTGACATAAAATTCAAAATTTCAAGGGTTGTCAAACTGGTTCCAACAACATTTTACAGAATAATGCATAATTTGAACTAGAGAGAATTTTGAGAACCTAGTCGGGCTCAGTTTTTTTATTGCTATATATCTTGTTGAGTGCAACGACCTGTAAGTTGTACTCTGAATGTATTAGTATTTCGCTGTAAAACAGCAATACGTGTAAAAAATAAGACTGAAAATTAATTTAGTTCTTCAATAATTCTCTTATGATTGCCTTGCCTCAATCCGACCCTGGAGTATTGATTTCGAAAAACATATTTGATCCAATTTCGAGCATTATCTTACGAAATGTGGATAAACCTTGAAATTTTGAGTTTTGTACTACCTAAACTGATAAAAATCAAATATTTGGGTAAATAAATATTTTGTTTAAAAACCAAAAGTTAATCATTGACTTTTTTTTACATAGTGGAACATTTCAATATACAGCTTAAAATGTGAAAAAAATCGAGCACGGATCCCGGTTTTTTTTAATCTCTGTCTAATTTTACGTTACTCCCAGGTAATTTTGTTATCGTGCCAAATTTCAACAAAGTCAGTTCGATAGTGCCTGAGAAAATGAATTTATAACTTTTTTATTTCCAGAAAACAAAAACAGATTCTTCAAAAAATTCTTGTATTTGAACTGACAAGCACTATTAGCAGTATTGTCCATTCTGAGTCTCCTTTCGGTAGTTCTAATATAACCAACTGATTGAGCTGACTAATCGCGCACAAAAATACACATCTTATTGTGTTTGTATATACAATATCTCACTTGACTTGTCTTATATGTACTTCTTCTTGTTCGAAAACACCATGGGAAGGACAAGGATCAACCGAAATCGGAAGTGCTTCTGCCGACTTGTATCATATCTTATATGACAGCTTTGATGTGGTGTGGTGTGTCTATCTGTTTTGTGGCATGACAATATATCTGTATAATCTTTTGACATGAAGCATGGCCATTTTCTGTGAATATTTTACATTTTAAGATATTATATGATTTATTGTTTGAATGTTGATTGAGGTCGAGACGTTCTTTACGTTCTTAGTGGGAGTGATGGGAGTGAAAGCACGTGAAGTTGACAAATCTAGTGAGATGTCTTGCTGTGTTTTTTCAATAAATTTTGGTCGATCGCCGTGAACATCTGGATTCAAACAATGGCGAATGCAATTTATTTCGACAATGCATATTCTAAGGAGCATGATTGAATTTAATAATTATTCCTCAAGTAAATTAGACAACGACGTGACTTAAAATTAAGTGTGAACAGGGCATTCCTCATTGATGTGCTGAAACTGTAGGATATGATTCCTGAATCAATTTTATGAAGAAAATTTACGTATCTCCGCACCGGCATAATTTTTTGCACTGGGCGCGGAACTTTAAAGAAAACAAGTTTTTATTGACACGCCTTTATTAGCTAGACCTGTACGTATGTAAAGGAATCCTTCAACCTAATTGTCACCAATTTCGAGAAGTTGAAAGTGTTTACAAACATTGAATTTTGGAATTTGGAAAAAACTTGGATTTGAAAATTTGAAAAATAATTAGAATATTAGGAAATTTGGTTATTAATTCGAAGTCTGATATGTGAGAAAAAAATAGAAATTTTGAAAATTTTTTGGAAATTTCGAAATTTGAAAAAGTTTTGGAGTGAATCTAGATTTAAAGTCAAATATAAGATATACCGAAAATCAGGCACCTTTGTTGCCGTCATGAATGAAAAAAATCGAAAAAAAATATAAATAAAAAACTCAAAGACAAGCAAATCGAACAAGGTAGGTATATGATAATATTCAGGTAAAGGAGAGTTTATGCTACTGCAATAGAAAGTCCAACAATCAATTACGACCAATCGATTTGAAACAAGATCAATATAAAAATTAAGGCATTAAC